CAAGCGCACCGGAAGCGCGGAAAGAGCGCTCGTGCCAGTCCTACTCCGCATCACACATTAAATGAAGAGCGGAGCGCTCGTTTCACCGCCCAACATTTATCCGCCCTGTTTCGGAGATATACAAGAAAGCGCTAAAGCAACTACACCAACAACAACAACTACACATACTACACCGACTACACTAACTACAGCAACTACACAAACTACAGTAACTACAGCAACTACAGCAATGACTACATGTACTACACCAACTACACTCACTACACCAGCTACAGCAACTACTGTAACTACACCAAACACCAACTTTATCATAGTACAATAAGTCATCACTAAATACGTCGCTATATTCGAGACGGTTATCATGAATCCATTACCTGAGAAAACGGGTTAGATTTCAAGATCGCATTAACGAAAGTACACCAAAATTTTCTAGCATCAAAATGTGACATCAAGCATCATTCTGACGCTACTTAAGAATAATTTGAGACATTTTTAACGTTTTTATTAATAACCTATCACGGCTATTGAAAATTTAAGGTTTTAAATATATTTTCGTTTTAGTCGAATTCAAACATACAGAATTTTTTACTTCTTACGGAGATTGTTTGCTAATCATCAAACTTTAAGTTCCTAGTGTTGGATTTTCAGTAGCAGGTCTAGATCACACAAAATGCGGCTTTTATCAATTTCAAAGTTTTTTGTTTACTGTTTTCATAGTAATGTTGACTTTACTTAAAACTACATTTCACAAATTTCAATCCATAGCCAATTACTGGTGAAAATTTTATAGCGATCGGACAAGGAAAAAACCACTTTTAAGGCGATTGAAAAATATCGGTATAATCATAATTATAATTATCTGAGACGGATAATTCGTCTCTGGTATAAATTCGGCCAATGTGAATATTCCTGGCAAATAAGTTATGATATCATAATTAAAAAAACACTTGTTTATTTTTTTGTCTTTTTATTGTCTTTGCGCCAGTTTTTCAACGTAGCTATGACATCTTCATGCAAACAAAATCTTGCAACTATAAACCGAGAAATATGCTACAGCCAATGCCTGAGACGGATAAGATGCTGTAGAATTTTAACCTTATTTCCTCTAAATCTCAGATGTTAGTATTCCACAAGATGTGTGTTTTTCTTGTGCTTGGGATTCATCTTTCGGAAAGAACGACGATGACCAGGGTCTCTTTGTCGGCTGGTTCGAACTTCACTGACTTGCGATGAGCTTGCAGGTTTTGATTCGATTAAGTTCCCCTGCGCATCATAGGACTCCATCTTCGCTCCTATAACAACCCTGGCCTCTGCTCTTACCGTCCCCATGGTGTAAAAAACGGTTTGCCGAGAAGGTATTGCCTAAAAAAAAACAAGCAATTTCTATTTACTTCAGGCGTTTCTACAAGTTTTTCAGTATCAATCTTATACTGAGAGCGTCTACCGCTAACCGCGTACCAGTCTCGTCTTTCTATTTTTTTTTTTTAACACACGGTGAATCTAATCACTCTTTGTAGAAGATCTTGGTATCTTTCTTGTTTCGCATCGTTTTCGGCGAAGTTACCTTTAATTTATCAGACACAACAATATCGATTAATGTTGTAATTATTTATGGTTCATTATAACGCTGGTCAGCGTGCCTCCTCAGCGTTCGAAAATTCGGAGGATTCGAAGAACAATGGCGAGGTCTTACCACCACCTACCTGCGACAAAGAGACTATGACGGTCTCGTTTGTCCTTATTCGATGACCAAACTTTGCAAAAGTATAACTCAGTTTGATCTCGCCTTCTGCATGGATAGTGGCTCCCCACTTTAATGTGAGGGGTTCGGTGCGCTTGGAAAAGCGGGCGATCGTTCTGACTCCGGCAGGCACCTTGGACGTAATCTGAAAAGCGGTGGTAATTTTTTCTTGTGTAGTTTTCTGGTATCCACTGTTGTAGAAGCCTGACTTTGAGAACTCGGTGGAAAGCTCAACTGAAAACTCAGCTCCAAGTGCCTCAAACCCTGCACTCACAGAAGCCCCGACGGTAAAACTACTTGAAGTTCCCGACTCGACAGAGTATGTTTGGCTTGATGTTGCTTCGACTGTTCTTGACTTAGTGAATGATTTCTCAGTTGATCCTCCAGTGTTGTCCAATTCTACGTCAAAATCACCTGCAAGAGGTGTCTCTCTTGTAGGGTAGGGCTTGCTGGCTTCCTTTTTAACTGAAATCACATTGAAGTCTACTCGCTTGAGATCGTCAGTGGATGCTGTGTAATCACCGCAGCCCTTCTGCACTTTATCAACTCTTTGATAGTTCTCTATTTCAACAGTTGAGACAAATGCGCATCGCTTCACTTTATTTTTTGGCATTCGCGAGTAGAATTCCACCCAGTATGAAACTGTAAAAATAAACTAACAAGAATAAGAATACGAAAAAAAATACCTGACGAGTTCAGCCTGATACCATTAATCCTTACCAAGAGATTTTGCTACAGCTAACCCCCCTCCCCCCCCCCTCTTCCGAGGGCTTGGGTCACCGTCCTTGAGTATTATCATCATTACAAGGATAAGTGTGGGAATTCAACGAGTAAATTCTACAGGCATGAAGTAAAACTTTTTTTGTGATAGATGTGAACTTTAATAATAATAATAATAATAATAATAATTTAATACTCATTGAATACTTATATAGCGCAAATTGAATGAGCATATGCGCATCGCACGTAACTGCATAGTGTTGTATCTTCCTTTTTTTTTGTGATGATTTGAGGCTATTTCAGCGAGTTATATATTAAAAGGCCCGGCTAAACCGGATCAAACATTTTTATCCACATCGTGTTAAAAGAACAACCCCTTTGTAGCACCGAGGAGTAAGGACCATAACATTAACACTTCACGTCTTACTCAAGACCACGCCTGACCAACTGCAAACGTTTCACTTCCATTGTTTAGGTATGAGCTGGTCAGACTATCAATTCTACCGAAATAATCACTCAGTTGGAGTTTAAAAGGCTGGGATAATTAGATTGTCGACTCGAGGATTAAAGTATTTATGAGCTTGAAAGTGGAGAGTGCACGAGGTGCTTACTGATATCGTTGAAGAGTTGAAGGGAAAAGCTGACTAGGGGAGGGGGGTAAAGTACTAGGATAAGTTGGTAGGGAGGTGAGGGTGGAGGGGTGAAGCAGATTATAAGGGCCGTGGCTCTCTGACTAACCTAGTAACGGTCTTTTGATAACAATTGTAATTACTGTATCGATTCGATCACAAGTTTCTGTACATACATCTTCCTCCCTCTGGAAGTCCAAGTGCATTAGTCTGAATGGTGTTTTAGTGCTTCTCCAGAAGATTCAATAGTTGTCCCAAGTAGTCAACCTCTGTTGGCAAGAACCAGCACTGACATGAAAATGTAACACGAACAACTTTCGACTACATTGCAAGAATCAGGTTTTCGGTAAAATATTAAACATTACAAAGTATAGCTGAGACACTACTGAGGGATGGACTGGAGGTGAACACGAGAAAATTATTCGCGCTCCATGTTTTATTGATCACAAAATCGACCAAATTACAAAAACTGAGGCGATACTTGGATTTTTTTTCCCGAATGTTTACTATCCATGTCTGAAGGTGACCTGAAGATCATCAAGACGAGAATATTCGCGCACTGCCGTAGACTAACGATCATGATCCATGGGCCTAAATGTTTTAGTTCGTCTAAAATTGCCCAGGAGCAAAAAGCGATGGCAACAGTGATGATATCGATATCTTCACTCCTTACGATAAAGAGAAAATTGATACCTTCGCTCCTGAACAACTTTTTTTCGGGTGGCAGAAATCTTTTTGACTACTCGCCTCGATCTTCGAGGCGTTATTTTCAGTTGAATAACACAACACTCACCACCCGTGGCATATATACTGTAGGCTTGCTCCGGACCACCACAGCAACTGGTTCTAAAACAACTCTCCCCAGCATCTCCAGGACATTTAATATTACATGAACTTGATGGACCAGAAGCTGCATCTCCATCCGTCGAAATAGCCAACAATGTTGTTGGCAGACTGTTCAGACACACACATTGCTTGTTGGAAGTAGCTGCTAAAGGAAACGCCTTGTCACGGCAGAAATTAATGCACCCGTTATTGTTTAATCTATCTTCCAGTTTCTGGAC